GGCGCAGGGGGTCGCGAAAGAGGGACTCACATGACGGGAAGAGATAGCGGAAACCGGCAGATGGCCCCGCTACCAACGTGCTCCCGGCGCTACGAAGGACCGGCACTTGTGCCATGATCGTCACCGTCACCTGACGTGTACTGTAAGAGACGGAGGATCTATTGCCAAGCCCCGCGTCGAGAGGACCGAAGTTGTGTGTCGAGAAGCGAGAGGAGTGGGAAAAGAGAGAGCATTCGGTGAGACGAACGTCGCTAATTTTGTAAAGTCGCCAAGTTTCGCGAAACGAGGGGGCCGTGCAAGAGTAAAGATTTCTTCAGCATAGCGGCCGCGAGTGCCGTGTACGATAGAATTGCAAGTATTACCTGTTCCGCGAACTAGAGAGTGCACCGCCCGCTCGATCGCGTTAGATTAGAGTCATTTCAAAGGTCGCTTTGCGTTCGCCCTTGCTCGGCCGAGTCACCGCGTCGTGTATCGTATTATTGTAATTCGCGAGAGCGTCAGTTCTGCCGTTCCGTGTATGTCGGATATTAGAGTCTCCGCGTATCGTGAATCGAATTCTGTGTCGAGAGCGTTTAACTTCCTCGTGTTGCAAGAGGCGAATTTCGCCGTAGATCTCGGGCCACGTGCCTTCGCACGCCGCGAACGCGTGAACTGCGTGCGCCCGCGCGACGATCGCCGTTACCGCGCCCGCCGTATATCGGGCGTCAGGATAATCTCGGGAAATTAGTTTAACTTGTAATTACAGGCGGGAGACGGAATCGAACGATAGCCGCTCATTGTAAAACACCAACACCAAGCCATTGCAGATCCTCGGCCTCGTGCGCGAGGGGACTATTTGAGCGCCGCGGAGTAATCCCGCAAGGCGTACCGCGGCTCCACCGCGAAGCATCGCGCGATTACTTAAAGAGATTCGTTCGGTTCTCGTCATCCCGGTCCGCTATTCGACACACACCCGTGTCACTTATCTCGCCCGCGACCGTCTGTAATTCGTATAGGCATTCTGGCGTGGCGTTAGTCCGCCAAGGATCGGTGCCAGAATACGCGCCCCGTCCCGCGCCTGCGAATACCACGCGAGAATACTCGCATCTTGTATTCACCTGCCCCGCGAGGCTATTGAAATACATGTTCTCTTGTCCGTTATTGAATTCTGGTGCAATTATTTTCTTTCCTTGTCACTCTCCTAAGCCTCAAACCTAACGAACCGCCCCTCTACCATTGTCGGAGCTGGTTAGCCGGCCTTCCGCGCCGTCGTCGTTTGCCCGTCCGGACCTTTCGCGAAAATCTAAGTTGCTTCAACCTATCGAGCTGCGCGTCGAGAATCAGAGATAGCTCGAATATAAGCTCTATAAATTTGGTTCGCTCACGCGGGCCTGGCGCCCAAACCCCGCTTACATCCGCGGAGACGATTATTGTAACATCTAAATTACTTGTATCTTCGATCGGGACGCGAACTCTGCTCGATCCGGACGTGCGAACTCCCGACAGTATTGCTTCGCACCTACGCGTGCGGTCGCAGTATATACATATGGTATTTTAAATTTTGTTATATTATTTTTTTATGTAGAAAACTATTTGGGCATCCTTTGGACATTCTTTTTCGTGAACATAATTAGGATATAAAATAAACACTACATGGGCGTCCATTTTTCGTGTCCCACTTACATCAAATTGGGCGTCGAAAGGATGCCCATTGCATGTCCGTTCCAAACCAGGACGATCGGGACATATAATGGGCGCCTAAAAGATATCCCTTGGGCGTCCTTTTTTGTAGACATAATCGGGATATGAAATGGGCACCAAATGGACGTCCATTTTTCGGACGGGACATCCATGTGTCGTGTGGGATATAATACAAGTATCAAATCTGACGATTGTCTTCCGTCCCGTCGACCATCTTTAGATATAGAATCATGGAATATATTATGCAGTTTTGCCACTTGCATATGTTCACAAAGAGAAAAAGGTTAAATTAAAAAAAGGGCAAACGAACTGATCGGAATTAGGTCTAATTTAGGACGAAATTAGTTCAAAATTATCAAAAATGTTATACCAATACTCGACCTCCTACTAGTCCATTTGACCAAATTAGACTATGACCTATTGAGCAAAATGCCTTTCATTACCTAATTAATACTGTAACGATGCACCCCCTTAAAGAACGCATCGTTCCTACACACGAAACCCAACAGGAACCGGGCGCAGCGCGCCCGGGTTATCTTTTTCGCCACCCAGCGAAGCACTCGGGAAATTCACCCCACCGAGCACTCCTTTTTTACAACCCTCCCGGAGATTACCGACGAGACGCGGAAATGTCCGAACCTGCGCCCGAGAGGGTATAAAAGCCGACAGAACTTTCGACGAAGTCACTTCTCGCTTGACTCGCTACCCGCCAGTCCGCCAGAAGATCTTCCGCTCCAGTACCGCAAGCAGCTCGCACAAACGGGATCGAGAGATAGTTCTCGGCCTCCACCTAGCGTTCTTAGGCAGATCTGCTCCGGATCCTTCCTCGGGACGGTCAGCACCGGGGTCGAGAGGGTTCTCGGCCTCAGCCAAGTGTATCTCGGCAAACCGTCTCCGACTCCTTCTTCCGGGACCGCCAAATCCAGGGGACTGAGAGAGTTCTCATTCCCCGCTGAGAAAAA